AAGACCTTTACATGAAAACTATCAACCATTGCTGACAGCTTGTAAAACGAGACTCATAAGTGGAGTCATATATCATGTTGATTCATCCTGTCAGTTTGCAGAGTAAATGTGTCATTTTGCTTTAGCTGTTCCACTGTCCAAATTTTTTTCTTTGTCCCTGGTTTTCAGAAGTTTGATTTTGATGTGTCCAGGTGTAGATTTCTTAGTTTATATTGGGTTCACTGAGCTTCTTAAATCTGTGGGTTTATGTCTTTCAGTCAAAATTTGGAAATTCTGAGCCATTATTTCCTCAAATTTTTTTTCATTTCCACGATCCTTTTTCTCCTTATGTCAAAGCTTTCATTATTGTTCTACAGGTTACTAAAGCACAATTCAAGTACATTCATTCATTCATTTGAATCAGGGTCTTACTCTGTCACCCAGGATGGAGCATAGTGACATAATCACAGCACTGCAGCCTCGACCTCCTGGGCTCAAGTGATCCACCCGCCTCAGCCTCCTGAGTAGCGGAGCTGGGTCTACAGGTGTGCATCACTACATCCAGCTTTTAATTTTTTAAAAAACAGAGATGAAGTCTGGCTGATCTCAAACTCCTGGCCTCAAGCGATCCTCTCACCATAGCCTCCCACAGTGCTGGGATTACAAGCATGAGTCACTGCACTCAGTCAGTGTTTTTTTTTGTTTGTTTGTCTTGGATCAGTTCAGTATCAACCTATCTTCAGATTCATCAGATCTTTACTCTAATTTCCTACTGAGCTCGTCTAATCAATTTTTGTGTTTGTTACTGTATTTTTCAGTTGTAAAATTTTCATTTGGTCTTTTTAATATCTATCACTTTATTGAGATTCTCTAGTTTTTATTTGTCTCCAGAGTCTTTGCTCATTAAGACATTTTTATGATAGGTTTAAAACCGTTGTCTGCTATCTCCAACATCTGTGCCATCTTGGTGTTGGCATATATTGACTGCCTTTTCTCCTTAGAATTGAGATGCACTGGTTCATGGTATAATAAGTAACTTTGAACTATATACTGGACACACTGAGTTATATTATAAAAATCTAGTTCTTCAACCAAATGCAGTGGCTCAAGCACTTTGGGAGGCTGAGGTGGGAGAACTGTTTGAGATCAGGAGTTCAAGACCAGCCTAGGCAACATAGCAAGACTGTCTCTCTAAAAAAAAATTAGTCAGGCATGGTGGGAGCACATGCCTGTAGTAGCTACTGAGAAGGCTGAGCAGAAGGGTCATCTGCACCCAGGAAGTCAAGGCTGTGGTGAACTGTGATCATGCCACGGCACTCTGGCCTGGGCGACAGTGAGACCCTGCTTCCAAAAAAACCAAACACCTATTTTAACCTTCTATTTCAGCAGTCAACCTGTGTAGGTTCAGAATACATGTCCGAAATCACTTTTATGGACTATGATTCAAATGCAACTCTGTTTACAAAGCCGCCAGAGTGCTGTTCTGGTCTCCCCCTCAGATGGCAGGACTCCTCTCTCCAGTCTCCACAGAGCTGTGGGGGAGGCATGCCAACTTCACACTACAGGGCAGGAATGGGAGACAGAGTTCCACCCAAGGACTTGGTGGTGTGTGAGGGTGGGGCAAGAGGCAGGAGTCAGAGTGCATCCATAGTCCCTGCTTCCTTGCTGTGGCTGTGGGGCAGGGTAGAAGGCGGAGCTCTGCCTACAGGGGCAATGGTAGAAATCATGTTCACCCACGAGCTCCCTAGAAAGAAAGGCACCCATCTCTTCAGGGAAAGACATGAACAGTTTCAGCCCACTGGCTCCACCACCACAGTGCCAAGTGGGGCTGGGGAAAGGGCAGCTTTCTTGATGATGCACCCCTCCTGACAGGCAGGTATGGTCCAAGGCTACTCTATGGCTGGGCCGCCCTCTCCCCGTTCCTTGGCTAGAGAACAGGCTTTTCTTGGGTTTTTCTTTTGTGTCTGTGTCCACTAGTGCTTCCAGTTTGTAGATCACCCAGGCCAGGATCCACAGGGAATTCACTGCCTTGAAGTCCCTCAAGTCCCGCAATCCCAGTCAGTGGCCATCTTTTCTCTACCTTTTAAGTATTCTATCCAGGAATTTTTACTGTGGTTAGTGAAAGGAGTAAAAAGCAATGTGTTGACTCCGTCACACTCAGAACCAGAAGCTGTGATTTGTTTCAAATATATCAAAAATAAAATGGACTCGTGAGTGGACGGTTGGAAAGATGGCTAGACACATTATAAAGCAAGTATGGCAAAATGTTAGTGATGGAATCTAGGTGCTAGGAATAGGCCATAATCCATAAAATTTTTCCAACTTTGCTCTACGTTTGAACTTTTATAATAAAATGTGGGAGAGAGGAGAATCTTTTAGATGAATTCAAAATGCAGGTAATTTTTTTAAAATTCCATACCTGCGAAGCTAAGAACAGAATCCCTCTGTTGAGTGAAAGAGAGGGACTGGACCCTGCTCTGACAAATTCCCAGGTTAACTGGAACAAGAGGCTACTGGATGCCAACAGGTCTTTTTAAACACTCTGGCCAGCTGAATGTCACTTCTTGTTTTCTTTTTTTTTTTTTTTTGTTTTTACAAATAAAGTTTTATTGGAATACAACCATCTCCATTCACTTATATATTATCTGTGGCTGCTTCCACACTATGAGCAGAGAGTTAAGTAGATGTCACAAAGACTGTGTGGTCTGTACAGCATACAGTATGTGGCCCTTTGCTATTCAGATATTTTCAGGAAAAGCGTGCTGACACCTGCCATGCAAAACTAAAGATGAATATATCACAAAAATATAATATTGACAGAAAAGATTAAAATTGACATTATGACATCTTTTCTATGGAGTTTGTAGCAGCAAAAACATACATATAATAACAAAACAACACTACTGTTTATGCAGGAGTGCATGTGTGTTGAAAATATAATGCACACAAATGTATACTACCTGTCAGTATAATGCATAGGAAAAGTATAAAAACATAGTAGGAGGAATACTTAAGGTACTTACTATTATTATTATTATTATTGAGTAAGAGTCTCACTCTGTTGCACAGGTTGGTGTACAGTAGTATACTAATGGCCACTGCAGCCTTGATCTGCTAGGCTCAGGCGATCCTTCCACCTCAGCCTTCTAAGTAGTTGGAACCACAGGCATTTGTCACCTTGCTCAGCTATTTTTTTTTTAAATTTATTGTAGAGATGAAGTCTCGCTGAGTTGCCCAGGTGGGTCTCCAACCCCTGGGTTCAGACAATCCTCTAGCCTTGACCTTCAAAAGTGCTGGGATTACAGGCTTGAGCCACCATGCCTGGTCAAGGGACTTTTTTTTCCTTAAAATATCATAACTGGCCCCCCTTTACTTTCCTGTATTTCTTTTTTTTTAATAATTAATCAGTATTTTTATTATAGTTTTGTGGGGTACAGTTAAGGGTTAGGTGTACAATTACGTTTCATTCAGACACCCTGTTGATAAGAGGTGTTTTCCCAGCCCCAGACAGATATTTGCTACTGTTAATCCCCTCCCCCTCCCCCCCATAGTTTCCCAGAATATCACATGTTCTCACTCATATAATGGACTTCTTGTTTTCAATAGTTCAGTTGTCCATAGTCTGGTCCTTAGGGCTGTCAGCTCCTGCACCCCCACTAAGAGTAATTCCACCAGAGCTAACAAGCACTGTGCTGCTGAGGTGCTTAGGGGATCGTTAATGTTGAGGAAGGACTAAATTCCTTATTCGAAAGGAAAACAAAAGAACAGAGGGAAGGCCTCAAAACGAGCCTGTTTTTAAAGAACCGCCTAGTCAACACAAGGAATAGAGGGGAATTTTGGACAGAGTTATGCTATTGATCTCTTGCACTGAGTCTGGGAAAACTTTTTTACTGAGGCACAATGAACCACCCTGACTTTGTGAACACTGATTCTTCTGATGTTCCCCACTGACAGAACGCTTGGAGTCCATCATGTAGGAAGGAAGAAGCACAGACACTGGCACAGGACGGACGTGGATCTACATCCCGGCTTTTTTCCTCCTGTTTTCTCCTAACTAAATGACACTGGGTCAGTGTCTCTGCAGTTCTCTGTATCTCAGTATCCCACCTGCAAAATGGCACTAATAAGTGCTGGCATAGGGATTAAATGGCATATGAATAGAAGGTGCTCTCTTGCCTATCTAGAAATGGCAAGAGTCATTCTTTCCCACGCGGATGAAAATGGACCAAAACCCTCGCCTGGTGCCGCAGGTAACACATCCTATCAGGATGGCCTGCACAGCACCTGCCCCCAGATGACCATGGCTCTTCTCTCAGCCAGACAAGATGCCAGTCAAAGCAGAGCTCCTGAGTCAGCAGCAGTCCTGGCACGTCCACAGGTTTTTCTTCCAGGTTTTTCTCCCAGGTTGAAATCTGATAAACAGTAGCCTTTCTCTAGTGGCTGAAATGTTTTAAATAGCTACCTTAAATTACTTTCTAGAGGTGGATTCAAAAAGCCTGCATATATTGTTTAGTAAACACGCCTAAAATTGCCCTTGTATTACTAAGTAACAAATGAATACAGCCCAGCCCAATCTATACAGCGGGCTCCACGCAGCCAGCAGTCCAAGGCACCCTCTCATTACTCACAGAGTAAGTCCCGCCTCATTCCCTCGGGCCTGCCTCACGCTCACTCCCCTCCTGACTGACCCTCACTCAGCCCCGCTCTGCGATGACTTCGCTTACAGCCCGGGGTTCACAGTCTATAACTTGTCCCCTTCTCTGGTTCTGATTTTTGGCTTCCCTCCTTTTAATGTGATCAGCATCCGCCTCATTGACTATACTCCTTTAAATCGTGGTGGATAAATACTTTGCCAGGCCCAGCCACAGGGCGCCCTCCTGGCCAGCAAACCACACTGTTCACAATCAGTTGAACCCCTTACAGTCCATCTAAGCGTCCAATTCATTCACGTTCAGAGCTAACAAATATGGCATCAGTCTCCTCCCACTTATCTTGCTGACCACTGTGGGCCTTTGTTTTACCTGTGCCTTTGGCTCTGCTGATTCATTAGAGGTATCAAGTTGCTCCTTGGCTTGGGCCATCTGAGTCATCAGCCTATCCATGTGGGACTGGATGTCTGCCAGGATCTCTGTCACATGAGCTGTGGCCATTGCTTCTTGGATGTCCACAAGATGAAGGGCCTTCTTCTCCTCATCAGCAATCACCTTCTGAACCTTCTTAAACTCCTGCTGGATAAACACCTTCATCTGGTCCCGAGTTACCTGTGTAACAGAGACACGTCAGAAGAACAAGTTGGACATACAAAGAAAGGGAAGGGTGGAGTTACTTCTACACAGCCCTGGCCAAGGTACAAACATGCTTCTTATCTGACCCTAAAGTTTTGGAAATACCCTCTAAACAACATTCCCCTAATACCTTTGATGAATTTCCTGGTAATCGCCATTTTCCCAGATGATTCTATACACATATGTATGTAGGTGATTGTGTGATTTTCATATAAATGGATCACAGTGAACATATGGTTCTGTCTTGCTTTTCTACTTAAAGTATGTTAGTGCATACAGATCACTATCTGCATAACATAAAGGTGTGTGAGAGTGTGAGTGTGTGTGTCTTATTATACCATCCCTCTCTTCATGGAAATATAGAACCATTCCAAAATGTTGCTATTATAACAACACAGCAAGAAGCACCCTTGGACGACTCTCTTCATATCTGCCTATGAGTTTTTTCAGAGGCCTCTGGAGTCAGTCAATCTGCATGTGCTCTAAAAAGACTGACTGATGTTGCCAAGCTACCCTCTGAAAAAGATGTCTAATCACATTTCTCCAGATGAGTGTGAAAGTGAGCACATCACCACACTCTCACCAACACTGGTGAGCATCAAGTTTTTAAATTTTTACTATCTGATGAGCGAAAATATGCTATTGTCTTACTTTACAATGACTGCAAACCAAACATAATATGACTGTTAGCTGTATGCGGCTACCGCATAAGAAAGGCAAACAAAAAGTGAGACAGTGTTAAAATAAGAACTTCAGAACTCCGAATCTTGCCCACATCTGGCTTATTGATGCTTCCTCACAACCAAGTTTACTTGTAAGTATTTTCAGACAACAGTGCATATTCTGAGCAGCTGAAGCAGGGAGCAGGGAAGAGGCAGAACAGTGAGCAAAAGGAGAAAGGCAAGAGAAAGGCCCACAGTGATCTTAGGCCTAGAAAAAAAAAAGCAGCTGGCATCTTCCAGATGAGGAAACAGAAATTCATCCGAGAGGCAAGGACTCCAATGTCCTGTTCTCCGTGTGGGCTCTGCTCACTGTCACAGTCTGTCAAAAGGAAAGTCAAACTGGATCAGCAGGGCTAAAGGCGGAAGGAAGGGGATGAGGCCATTTTTAATTAGCCTCTTAAAGACGGAAAGAGGCCTGGCACCTTAAGAAACTCTTGGAACACGTAGAAAAGACATGCGAAATAAGGTCTGCACAACATGATCTGCTGAAGATCAAGTGACTAAGTGACAGAAGCCCTCAGGAAGCCACGCATTCTCTACGGGTGCTGGAGAAAAGGGAGGAAGAGTGCTAAGTGACACTGATGTCCTTGCAAATTCAGGAACAGACTGAGAACTGTGACTTGTGCTTATTTATGTACTTCCTCTTATTTTTAGTGTGTGTGTGTTTCAGGGCTATTATGCTTTATGGTGATCATTTATTGATGGACCTCTATTGTTGAAATAAATTAGTTCTTCATAAATTGGGTCTTAAATGACTAGGACCTTCTCTCAGAGACCAAACCTGGAGTGTTCTCCAAGGCATGCCCCTTTCTGAATGCCTGAAAAACTCTTCATGGCGACAAGTAACTAAAAATGGAGATCATAATAAAAAGACTCACAACCTATTTCACCAGACCTCACATACACGCAATTCATGCACCAAACAGCAGCAGGGGAGGAAGCTACAGATTTTGAAATCCTCTATTTCCCATTCCTTTGCATAGGCTTTTCAGCAAGACACCATTTTATCCCATCAGGCCATCCATGAAAACTGAAGCCAAATAATCTACTCTAAGAAGTGGCACTGCCTTGTCCCCCTCCCATTTGCTACTAAGTAACAAACAGGCATTCTCCAACCCAGCTCAGTATGGGAGGAGTAGACTTCTGGGTCATGGCATCCATTCACAGAGCTCACAGGAGGGCTGGAGCCTGGGCATGTGGCAGTTGGGGTGCTCTGGGAAAGGGTAAAGTGGCTCCCAGAACTCCCTCTCAGGTTCCTCCGAAACACCTCCTGTCTCCAAGAGGCCGGCCCTCCATGTCGGCACATGCCATTGAGCTGCCAACATCATGGCCAAGCGCACTTCTTGGGACTTCTTCAGCCTTTGCCTTACAGTTACCCAAAAGTGAGAGTGACAGTCCTACACTCTCAACTATAACAACATGTAACATTACATAAAAAGAGAAAAATCTACATACTCAGAGAAAACAAAGTTGAACGTGCTACAGTAATGGAAGTAGTGATGCAAAAGGTTCCTCTGACAGAGCATCTACTAGTAACTGTTAAGCCTTCTCCAAGTCACAGAACTTCCCTTGCCCCGAACAAAGCTTAGTGTGGTGCCTCAATGTGCATTATAGCCCTAAGCAAAACTCTTCTGGTTAAAGGACATGCGCTCCCTGTGTGAAGTTCCTCCTGTAGCCCTGTGTTGCTTCAGGAAAAGTTTGCCTGAGGAATGGGCCCTTGGAGCAAATGAAACCCTAGAAGGAGCTTCTCCTTCCAGCCAGTTGACTGCCCATCACTGTCAAACCTCATCTCACAGGCGAAGAAAAAGCAAGCCCCAGAGAAGTGCAGTAATAGTGTCAGGTGTAGAAACTCAGAAACTCCTCTGGTCTAGGCCAGGGTACTTTCTACCCCAGCATGCTGCCTCCAGTGACCCATTCAGGTTCTTTAATACATTTCTTCTTGACAGACATTTCCAGCTAGCAGGCTGCTCAGGCTATTACCCCGCTGGGATGCTACTTCTCCCCGTGAACCCTGGGATGAGGAGTTCACACCTGAAAAGTTACATATCCTCCCAGAGTGCTTTCCATGCGCTCCTTACAGCTAGTACAGTATTTCCAAGCCAAGTCATACCCAAGAGACACGCAGACTGGCACTTTACACAAACATAAACACATAAAACCTCGAATTAAGAAGCTAGTCCTTAAAAACAACACCTGCTCATTGTACTTGACATGGGCTGGAAGTCATTTGCTCCCAGCTAGCTAGCCTGTAGAAAACCAAGGTTTTATTTACTTTTCAATCAGAGGCAGACTATAAAAACAACACACATACCAACTAGAAAGCGCCAAGGCTTAAGAAAAACGTGTTCTAGAAAAGTACTGCTGGGATGAATGGAGAAAAATGGATCAGGGTCAGGAGCAGAAAGCTACTCAAAAGAAGCATCTAAGCCCGCAATGACTGAAGTGCTTGGAAACGCTTGTTCTATTAGCCAGATGTCCTGCAAGGCTTAAAGAGGCTGCTCCAAAAATAACGTAAAGCACTGCGCTGCACAGAACTGTATGAAGACTGCAAAGACTGCACCTAAAAGGCCAAAAGTTCACTTTTTCTTCCCCCTTCCTCACCTGAATGGCCACTATGCTAAAAGAGGAAAACAAAAAGGCAGGAAATGGAACATTTTTGGCTGCTGCAAGCTGTCCTCACCCACAGCACAGGGCCTTCCCAGCCTGCCAGGATGGTGGTAACCTTCGAGTCAGGAGGTTCAAGGTCAAGGCTTTTTTGGCACCTACTCAGGCCCTGTCCTCCAAGCGAGCGCTTCCCACACCCCTGCCAGGATCCAGTGGGGCCAGCAAGGGGCTCTTCAAGGGACAGGACAGCCTCCCACTTCCTGTGTCTTTTGTGTAGGGGTGGAACAGCCACAATCTTTGAACACAACAACGGCCCACCCCAGGCTTGGAAAATCATCTGCAGCCTAGAAACAGAGCTGATACAGCTCTGAGCTGCCTCTGTTACCAACACTCCCCTGACCCAGTTAGAAGCCTGACGTGCTCAGGTTTTACAACAGGGTGTTGACTGAAGGGAACAGTCGCACTCCTCCTTAACCAGCCTGCCTCCTTCCTGCCCTGCTGCTTCCCTTGTACCCGCCCTGCCTCCTCCCCTGACCCATCTAACAGAGCACCACAGGATCCAACCTCCGTTATCCGGAGTGATACAAGCACCCACTCTGCGAAGCATCACAGGGTATTTACTGTTGCTGCTGTCACTGCTACTATTTTTATTATAAAAGACTATAATAAATACCAGGACTGGAGAGTAGTTATATGTGAGTGGTGAAATTACAAGTACTTTTCTCTTTGTTACTTTTCTGACCAAATTTCCTGTAATAATGTGCAGCACTTTTTTTAAACAATAATCTTTAAGAAAAAATGTGGCTCAGAGAACGAGTTAGGCCTGTGTGGTGATTCACGCCTGTAATCTCAGCACTTTGGGAGGCTGATGTGGGAGAACCGCTTGCATCCAGGAGCTTGAGACCAGTCTAGGCAACACGCTGAGACCTCATGTTTAAAAAACTTACAGAATCGCGGCAAGATGGCGACGGGGAAACCTGGTCTGTGAAACCCTCTGCAAAGGAGAACTGCAGTGGGTCTCTGGCTCTCGCCCTGGGGGCTGCATACCCCAATATCGCAGCCTGCTCTTTATACGGAGCTCAGCCGTTGCCACCGGTGGGGCATCACAGTGGACTGGACAGCCACTGCAGCGCAGACACCACCGCCGCCGCTGGTAGCACATCACACCACCCGGGCCGGAGGCGATCCACGACTTCAGTCCTTGAAGCCCCTTCAGGGAAGATCTGCTGGGATTGCTGCCACCTCTCCTGCGACCGAGAAGTCCTGCCCCCGGTGAGTCCCCTGCCTGTGCCCTGAGGCAGGCATCCATCTCCAGTCTCTGCCGGTTCCTGTCTGGCCCCACCCCCTCTGGGGCGAGCAGCTGAGATAGCACCACCTGCTGGTGATTCAAGGTAACAACACCGAAATGAGAGAAACAAGCTTGGAAAAGACATAGGCCAGAGTGGTGAACGGAGGGTGATCTGAACTGTCCTTCACAGCAGACCAGGGGCAACTGACCCTAACTGCAAACTAATTTACCAGTTTGAAAAGAAAACTAGAAATCAGACCTGAAAGGACATTGGACTTAAACGAAGAGTCTCAGAGTGTGCTTCATTGATTCTGTTAGTTTAAAGACTTAATTCTATTCCTACTGTATTGTTCCTTTTCTTC